TGTTCTTAGGGAGGTAATTCTACACTTAAAAAAAAAAATCACAGCTTCGTTGAGATCACATAATTCCCACAGTAGGAGCATCACCGTTTCAGTGACATTTGGTGGCATTTCACACAACAACTGATTTATTCATCAATCACCATTAACTCCAGCACATCTTTTTTTTTTTTTTTTTTGGTACAATTCTGTCCATCTTGTTTATAGAGCTGCAATGTCTTTTTTGCATAGTACACATCATTTATAAAGTACTGTCATGTTTTGCTGGTTGTACTATACAGTACAGTACTATAGTTTTATGTTCTCTCATATATTATAGTACTGCAGGTAAGAGTTATGCAAATAAAAGCAAAGTCATCAAGGTGGAATTTACTTTGAACCCTTCCTCAATTAGCAACCAACCCAGTTAGCAACCCAGTTGCAGGAACTGAACTCTGGAGGAGTGTTGTCAAAGGAGATTCAGAGATATGCAGGAGGAAAGGAAAAATAAGGCATGGACTAGAAGAAGAAATGATGGTTGCCCTTCTCAGAGGCTCTCCAGTTGGCCGTCACTGGACAGCAGGCGAGGCCAGCTGGCCCATGGCTGGGAGGCCTGGGGGCTTACAGAGCTTCCTGGGGTTTTCTCTCCACATTGGAATTGGGGCCTCAGCCATAAGGGAAGCTTCCCTTGCGGGGGGCCATTGTGAACAGATTGGTGGGCACGTCCAGCCCCCAAGATTTTTAGCAGAGGGATTTTTAGTGTTTCCACCTGCCTTCTCCAGCACCCACTGAAGTCCAGTAAGCACCTGCTGCTTCACTTTAATTAGCTCACAATCAGCACAGCTCCATACCAGGTGGATTTAGCACTGTGCTTGTGCATGGGGAGAACATTATCTGGCTTAGTGCCCTTCATCTTCATGAATGTCAGCCTAACTAAACAAGTTCAGTTGGGTATGAAACTCTTCACTTGGAGCCAGCAGTGGGGGCTCTCAGGGCCTGTGTCCAGAATGGAGGCATTTTTATTTGCTCTGTAGCAGGCCCTCGTAAGGTGAGTGCCAGGCAGTGACCCTGACAGACAGTGCCATCTTCACTAGGAGAAGGTTGGGTTCCCCAAAGGCCGTCAAGGTCCTAGGACACCATTAGGATATTTCTGGGAAGATGATGCCACGGGGGGCTGGGGATTTGGCTCGGTGGTTCAGCTGCCTGCCTTGCAAGCACAAGAGCCCAAGTTTGATCCCCAGTACCAAAAAAAAAAAAAAAAAAAAAAAAAAAAAGGATGCCACGGGTCGAATTGTGTACTTACAAAATTCCTACACTGAAGTCCTAATCCCCAGTACCTGAGTATGTGACTGTATTTGGAGATAGGGTCTTTGTGTCACCGAACAGGTCCAGAGGGGTTCCCAAAGGCAGCAAAGAAGCTCAATTTGCTCTACCCACAGAACAAATTCATTGACTTCCATTCCAGAAAAAGAATTTTCAGGACTAGTTAGTAAGAGGCATGGGAAGGATTTATTTAGAAGGAAAACAGTACACACTCAGAAGGAAATGTGAGTGTTCGGGGAATCAGATGCATTATTTTGTGGACGTGGGAATATTCATGTTTTGAGGGGTGGAAACCTATGGAATTTGTGAATCTATAGGAGGTTCCATCTTGGTTTACAGGAAAAGAGGATGGGCCGCCCACAGAGAGATAACGGTCCATTTTTCAGGTAGAAGGTACGGGCCCATTTTTTGCTTTTGAGATGGATGATCCAAGATTTTAGATGCCTAAACTTGATCTTTGAACTATCAATCTATTCCTTTGCTTTAAGATCAAGTTCCTGCCCTTTATTTTATCAACTAAGCTAATTTATGGGTTCCTACTCTTTTTAAGGGATTTGGGGTGTGATGAGCTGAGAAGGAAAGAATCCAAACCTAGGGAATACAGTACTACTTTTATTTTTTTTCATTTGAACAGAGGTTGCTTTCTTCTCATAATGTAATTTATGGTATACAACAGTGGTAGCGAACCTATGGCACATGTGTTATTATGTTTTTCTTTTTTTTCAGCTTTAATTGAGTTTATTGGTACATTTTAGGGATACAGTACAGTTACATTCATTGTTGGGATCTTGTACCTCTACATGACAGGTCTTGGTTCTCATTTTTTCCCCTTGTCCCTGCCCTCCCTTCACCCCCTCCTCCCCTCCCCATCTACAAGTACTTTATTTCCATCTTTTCTTTATCTCACATTTTTTTCTTTTCCCTTATTACCCTTCCCCTACCCATCCCACCTTCCCTACACCTTTAGCCCCTTTCTTCCCATTTCGCAATGTCAGTAATCTTATTAGGATCTTATGTACTATTACAATTTATTCACACCAGAGAAACTATTCGGTATTTACACATGTGTGACTTCTTTATCTCACTTAGGAGTATATCTTCAATATGTCTCCATTTTCCTATGAATGAATCTATTTTCTCATTCTTTATGGCTGAGTAGTATTCCATTTTATAGAAAAACCACATCTTCTTTATCCAGTCTCCAATCATGGGCCACTGGGCTGTTTCCAACTTTTAGCTATTAAAACCTGTACCAATAAAAACATGGGTGTGTGTATATCACTGTGGGTATGATTCTTTTAATTCTTTTGGGAAGATACCTAGCAGAGGGATGGCTGGGTCAAATGGGATCTCTAGTCCCAGCTCTTCGAGGTATCTCCATATTGATTTCCATAGTGGTTGCACCAGTCTGCACTCCCACCAACAATGGAGAAGGGTTACTTTCTCCCCACAACCCTGCCAACATTTGTTATTGTGTGATTTCTTGATAGCAGCCATTCTTTGTGGGGTGAGGTGGAATCTGTGTTGTTTTCATCTGCATCTCAATCTGTGTTGTTCATCTGCATCTCTTGAATGACCAGTGCTGTGGAACATTTTTTCATGTATTTACTTGCTGCTTTTACTTCTTTGCCTGAGAAATGTCTGTTCATTTCGGATGCCCAATTTTGAATTGGGTCTTTATATCTCTGGGGGCTGACTGTTTTGAAATAAAAGCACAATTAATTGTGCTTTTCCTTGTCACCTTTCTACCTATCTTCATTTCTCTGTCCTCCCTCATTTTCTTTGTGGAAATAAAGGTAAAATGAGGTCATACAGCTGACTGTCCTTTTAAGAAATTAGAACATAAGCATGCACAGAGGGAAGCCCCCCACGCCACTCCTCAGGATCAGCATGAACAATAGCAAAGTGTTTCTATAGTGTATCTCGGGGAGCATGCTGTGTGCCTTGGGCAGGTGACGAAGTGAATGCCCCTGGATGCCAGCTTCCTGGGTTGGGGATCACTGGGAAGGAGACTTGGTAAGACCATGAATGGCAAGGGTTGGGCATGGGGGTGGTGTGTAGTCCCCTCTCAACAGTGGTATTTCTGTCTGAGAAAGAGCAGAGACAGGATCTCTGAGGTATCTGGGTCAGGACAGTGTATGCCATGACAGGAATTAAAAATAATAGTAACTGGTCTTTTAAAAAGCATCATTTGGCCATCTGTATGTATTAGAGCTCTCCAGAGAAACAGAACCAGTAGGACATCTAGACACACAGGAAGAGATTTATTGAGACGGATTGGCTGACAATCCCACACCATGA